TGGAGGCAAAATAGGCTCTCACCACTGCCACTACACTCGCCAGCCGTGAGCCCGGCTTCTGGCTGAGCAGCGCTCCCCCTGTGGGAGCACACTAACCAACAGGGGGCATCTCCTGTGTTGAGCATCTGACCCCTGGTGGTCAGTGCACCTCATTTTTTACATGTATCTGACCAAAGGGGTTGATTTGCATATTACCCCTTTATTATATAGGATTATGAAACTTGCAAGTTGAAGTTATAAACACTACTTAGCAGTTCCAATTAAGTAGTGTTTATAACAAAGTTATAAAGTTGGAATACACATTATATTTATATAATTATGTAAAATTTGTAAGCATATGGACTAATTGAAGATTTGAAGAAGTCCTTGATATCTCAGCACTGTAATCGAGCTAATTTCAATACTTTTTATTCTTTGTTTTTATTGATGAAAATAATATGTTATAGTTCACATATAACATCATATTATTTTCAGGTATATAGCATAATGATTCAATATTTCATTTCTATGTGTTGAAAAATGATTACACAGTAAGTCTAGTTAATATCCATCCTCATATATAGTTGCATTTTTTTTCTTGTAATGAGGAAATTTAAGATTTACTCTCAGCAACTTTCAAATATGCAATACAGTATTGGCTATAGTCACCATGCTGTATATCACACCCCTATGACTTATTAATTTTATAAATATATATTTATGCATTTTGACCCTTTCATTCATTTCATTTATCCAACAACCCCACCTCTGACAATCACCAATTTCTTCTATTTGTCTCTGAGCTTGGTTTTGTTTTGTTTCCACATGTAAGTGAGATGATGCAACATTTGCCTTGATCTGTTTGACTTATTTCATTTAGCATAATGCCCTCAGAGTCCTTTCATGTTGTAAATGGCAGGATTTCTTTATTATGAGTTCACTAATATTCCATTGTGTATATATACATCTTCTTCATTCATCCATCAATTGACACTTAGGTTGTTTTCATATCTTGGCTATTGTAAACAAAGCTGCAATGAACATAGGGGTGAATATATCTTTCCAAATCAGTGTTTTGGATTTCTTTGGATAAATACTCATAAGTGGAATTTCTAAATCATTTGATAGTGTATTTTTAATTATTTGAAGAACCCCCATACTGTTTCCATTAGTGGTTGCACCAATTTACATTCCCACCAACAATGCATGAGGGTTCCCTTCTCTCCACCTGGCCACCCTGATTTTTTTTTCTTGTGTTTTTAATGAAAGTCATTGCAACTTCTGTGAGGTACATAATTTCATGTCTGTTGACCATCTGCATGTCCTTTTTAGAGAAATGTCTATTCAGATTCTCTGTCCATTTTTAAAACTTGAATTCTTTGTGTTTTTGCTATTGAGTTGTATGAGTTCTTTATATACTTCTGATATCAGAAATATGATTTGCAAATATTTTCTCTCATTCTGTTGGTGGACTTTTTATTTTGTTGATGATTTCCTTTGCTGCACAGAAGCTTTTTAGTTTGACGTAGTCCCATTTGTTTATTTTTGCTTTTGTGAGTCAGATCCAAATAATCATCACAAATTTCAAATACCTATGTTTTCTTCTAGGAGTTATACTGTTTCAAGTCTTACATTTAAGTCTTTAATTAATTTTGAGTTAGTTGTTGTATATGGTATAATATAATAGTACAGTTTTATTATTTTGCACATGCCTGTACAGATTTCCCAACATCTTATTGAAGAAACTGTCTTTTCCCCATTGTATATTCTTGACTCCTTTGTAGTAAATTATTTAACCATGTATGTGTTGCTTATTTACAAAGCACTATATTATTTTGATTACTATAGCTTTATTTTTTCTCAGTATTGCTTTGGCTATTTGGAGTCTTTTGGAGTTCCATACAAATTTTAGGATTGCTTCTATTTCTGAGAAAAATGCCATTAGGATTTTATTAGGGATTGCATTGAATCTGTAGATTGCTTGGGGTAGTATAGACATGTATTTGTGTGTTTTTTCAATAATCACTTTAAATTTAAATGTTCTAAACAAAGAAGTTAAAAGATGGAGATTGGCAAATTGAAGCGCAAAGAATAAGAAGTCCTATGCTTGCTATATAAAACACACACCCATGTTATATATGAAGACAGACTGAAAATAAGTGAACAGAGGAATATATACAAAATGCTAATTCAAGCAGAGCTGATGTAGCTTTACTACATTCATAAAACGTAGACAAGTAATGTTAATGGGTTTTAAAATATGTGATGATTAATGGATCATATTTCCAATATTGTTAAGTGTATACACCTAATCATAGAACTTACAAATACAGAGAAGCACAAATAGATCTGAAAAAAAAAATAGACACATTCACAATTATATTTAGAGTAGTTAAAACTGTCTTTCAGTAATTGATAGAATGAGCAATTCAATAAGGATGTAAATGACTATATCAGTATTATCAACCAACTTGACCAAATTGATATTTATGGCACACTTTTTTCAACAACAGAAGAATACACATTTTTCTCAAGTGCATATGGAAAATTCACCAATAGGACATAACTTGGGTAATAAAACATACCTTAAAGAATTAAAAAGAATAAAAACCATACATATATGATCTATGTTCTTAGATCATAATAGACTTAAAGTAAAAATCCATAGGTATACAGTAGACAGATTAATGCACCTCCCATCAAATATGTTTATGTTGTAATACTAATGTTCAGAACCCATGAATAGTTTACCTTATATGTCAAAAGGGACTTTATTGATGTGATGAAGTTAAAGATCTTGAGATGATCTTTAGACTATCCAGTGGAGTCTACTATAATCACTAGGGTACTGAGAAAGGCAGAAGAGTCAGATTCATACAGCAGGAGATTGCTGACAGAAGTAGAGGAGAGAGAGAGAGAGAGAAAGAGAGAGAGAGAGAGATTTGGAGATGTTACTTTAATGGTTTTGAAAATAAATGAAGGGTCAAAAATTAAGGAGTACAGGAAGCCTCTAGAAGTTGCAAATGGCAAGAAAAAAATTGAGGTGACAAAAATCTTAAAAGGAAAAATTGTCCATAAGGGACTTTTAAAAGTTGCAACATATTCTTTATGCCCTCATCTCGATATGTTTTTTGTTTGTTTGTTTTTTATTTTATTTTAGAGAGAGAGGAAGGAAGAGGGAGAGAGAAACATCATGGATTGGTTGCCTCTCCTATGCATCCCAGCTGGGATCAAACCTGCAACCTTTTGGTGTACAGGATGATTCTCCAACTCATTGAGCCACCCGGCCAGGGCTAAAGCTACAACACATTCTTGGGAAGTTAAAAGACCATGCACATATACATGAATGTGAATGTGCTCAGAAAAGATCTAAGGAAATCCCAGTCTTTCATGTATGGTTAATCTTGAGGCTCTGTGTAAGTAGGATGTAAAGGCTAATACAGAACTGCCTGGAGAAGCATTAAAAGCAAGCTTCAATACAGAAACCACTCAGCAAAGACTGTGAGATACTATAGATATTAAAAGAATAAAAAAGTGAATACTGTGAGTACTGCCATGCCCATATATTCAACAACTTACATGAAATTGACCAATTTGCTGAAATACATAAATTATCAAAACTCAGTCAAGAAGAAATAGAAAACCTAAATAGTTCTATATTTTTGAGGAATTTTAATTGACAGTTTAAAACCTACCAAAAACTAAAAACAAAATGATTTCACTGCTGGATTACATTAAACATTTAGGGGAAACATAGTATCCATTCTCCACACTTTTGTTTAGAAATTACAATGGGAGAGACTACTTCCCAAGTCATTCCTAAACCAAAATAACCACAGAAAAAGCAAATTGCGGAACAAAATCTCTCATAATACAGATGCAAAATCTTCTAAAAATATTAGCAAATTAAACTTACAATATGTAATCATAACCAAGTTGGATTTATCTGAGGAATAAAAGGCTGCCTAAACATTTAAAAAATCAATCAGTACAGTTCACCACATGAATAGTGAAAGCATATGGTAAGAGAAAACATATGATCATATCAATAGATTCAGAAAAAATATTTTAAAAAATTAAATATGCATTTATAATAAAAAATTCTCAAAACTAAAAACAAAAATGAAAAGAAGGCTTATGATTGTATAAAGAGCATTTTCAACAACCTTCAACTAACATTGTACTCAATGATAGGAGCCTAAATGTTTCTGTTAAGAAAGGATATATGTTCTCACTACTCTATTCAATATCATATTGGAATCTAGCTACTATATTTAAAAAAGAAGGAAAAAACATATAGATTTGAAAGGGATAAATAAAAATTGTATCTGTTCACAAATAGCATACTTGTTTAGGTAAAAGAGTTCCCAAAATATACAAAAAGCTCTTAGATCTAATAAATTCTGTAAGTTGTTAAGATACAAAATCCATATTTTGGAATTTAATTACATTTCTACATAGCAGGAATGAATAACTGGAATCTGAATACAAAAAAAATACTATTTCTAATTGCACTAAAATAATGGAATATTAGGGAAAAAACTGACAAAATGTGCTCAGAATCTGCATGCTAAAAACTATAAAATATTGATAAATTAAAAAATCTAAATAAGTGGTGATATATACTATGTTCATAGATTAGAAGACTCGATATATTTAAGTTGTCAATTCACTCCAATTTTATTTATTGAATCCATATAATCTCACTGAAAAAATAAAAAATATATTTCTTTATAGTTATTGAAAAAAATTGTTTTAACATCATATAGAGAGTCAGAGGACTTATACTATTAAAATAATTATGAATAAAAAATTGAAGGACCTAATTTTAAGATGTACTATAAATATATATAATTATTACAGCATGATATTGGTAAAAAGATAGACATAGTTTAGTGAAACAGAACAGAGGACTCAGAAATAGATTCACATCAATCAACTCAACTGTTTTTGATAACGGTTCAAGGACAATTCAGTGGAGAAATGATAATCTTTCAAACGATGGTCCTGGAACAAGTGGGACACAAATCCAAAACAGTGAACCTCAACAAACACCTTGAGCATTATGAAAATTAACTCAAAATAGATAATAAATACACAGGTATGGAGTTTCTAGAAGATAACACGGTAAAAAAAATATGTATAACTTGAGGTTTGAAAATGATTTGTTGAATATGACACAAATAGCACAGATCATAAAAGGGAAAACACATGATACATTAGGATTCATCAAAATGAAAAACTTTATTCTATGAAAGATACTGTTAAGAAAATAAAAAGATAATCACAGACTGTGAGAAAATATTTACATATCACTTATCTATAATGAATTGTTCTCAGAATATATTAAGAACTCTAAGATCAAAACTAAGAAAGCAACAGAAGATGAGAAAAAAAAATCTGAACAGACATTTAACCAAAGAATATATATGGGAAACAAATAAGCATATGAAAAGATGTTCAACATCATCAGTTATTGGGAAGTGGAAATTAAAACTATAATTCAATACCCTTTATCACCTAATGGAATAGCAAAACAAAACTAAACAACCAGAGCAGCAATAACAACATGACAATGCCAAGCATGCAGACGAAAAGGCACGCTGTTGCAGGGAATGTAAAATGGCACAGCCACTTTGAAAAATAGATTGGCATTTTCCTACTAAAGTGAAATGTACACTCCCTGTAAGATCCATTGCTCTTAATCCTAGTTATTTATTCAAATGAATTAAAAAGTACATATACACAAAAACGTACACATGGATATGTATAGTAGCTTTATTAGTGATAATAAAAACTGGAAATGAACCAGATTGTTTTTAACAAGTGAATAGATAAGCAAACCATGGCTCATCTACACAATGGGCTATTACTCAGCAATATAAGAAACAAAGTTTTGGTTTATGCAACTGCCCGGATAAATATTACATCTACTTTGTTAAGTAAAGGATACATATTCTACGGTTGTGTTTATAGGGCATTCTGAAAAAGGTAAACTATAGAGATTGTGAACATATCAGTAGTACTTGGAGATTCAGGATGAGGAAGGGTCTGAACAAAAAGAGGCCACCCATGGGAATTTTTACAGTGATGAAACTATGCTATATTATACTATATAGTAGATGCACAATTCTTTCTTTTTTAGAACTGTACACCATAAAGAATAACTTTTATAATTTGCAAATAAAAACCATTAA